TTTTTTTTTTTTTTTTGGTGGGGGAAGGGTTTGTCTTTTTGGAGTCTCCACTATTTTTGCCTTAAAATAATATGATACCTCACTTAAGGGGTTATTCAAGGATAGAAAGAACAGTACATGTAGGTGTAGGCAAGTTGTAGCTAACTACTAAATGATTAATATCATTAAATTATTATTAAAAACTACAGCAATCATTGTTTATACCTAAACACATCTCTCTCATTTTCTCTCTTACACATGTGCGTGTGCACACGCACACACACACACACAAAGTGGTTCTTGGTTATATTTAATGTGGCGCACTATTTTATTTTTCTCAGTACTGGGGATTAAACCCAGGGCCTCCCGCATGCTCGGCAGGTATTCTACCACTGAGCTACATCTGCAGCCCTTTTCATTTAATTTAACTTAATTTATTTTTTTGGTGCTGGAAATTGAACTCACAACCTCACCCTTGCTGGGCAGGTGCTATTCTGCTAAACTATATCCCGGCCCCTTAATTTCATTTTGAGACAGAATCTCACTAAGTTGCCCAGGCTGGCCTTGATGTGGTACTCTATTATATAAATGGAGTCACACATTATACAGGATTTGATTCTAAAGTCAGCATGTAAGTCACATATAGTATATATTCAGAAGCTCCTGAAAAACCCCTTAAGCTGCTCACAAAGCATAGCACACATTGTTTTACACATGCATTAGCCTCTCTTTATCCATAGTTTCACTTTCCACTTTCAGCTACCTGAAGTCAACCATAATCTGAAAATATTACATAGAAAATTATAGAAACAATTTACATTTTAAACTGTAGGTAGTTCTGAGTATCATGATATGAAATCTTGTACCCTCCTACTCTGTCATCCTTTTGTCCAGCATATCCACACTGCATACATTTACTAGCTTAGTAGCTGTCTTAGTTATCAAATGAGTCTTGCAGTACTGACGTGTCTGTGTCCAAGCAACCTTTATTGTACTTAAAACAGCCCCAAGGCATGAGGGTAGTGATGCTAGCAATTCAGATATGTCAAAGAGAAACCACAAAGTACTTCCTTCCAATAAAAAGATGAAAGTTAAACATTAAGGTATTTTGAGAGAGTTATTTATATAATTTTTATTACCATATATTGATATAATTCTTCATTTTATAACTAGTTATTATTAATCTCTTACCGTGTTTAATTTAGACATTAAACTTTATACTAGGTATGATCAAAATATATGGTGAATGCTTAAATTTAAAAATTTTATTACCGTCAAGGACATATTGCCATTACTCCCCTCCCTTTCGAACATATCCCACCATTCTTGCCACTTTCTTTTGTTTGTTTGTTTTGTTTATTTCCGGTACCGGGAATTGAACTCACGACCTTGCGCTTGCCAGGCAGGTGCTGTGCCGCTGAGCTAAATCCTCAGCCCCTTAACAACGCAGAATAAAAACATACAAAATAATATTTTTACAATTGCAGATTAATAATAGTTTCTTACACAATCATACAGTTGAGGGGCTGGGGATTTAGCTCAGCAGCACAGCACCTGCCTGGCAAGCGCAAGGTCGTGAGTTCGATTCCTGGTACTGGAAAAAAAACAAAAAAACAAAAACAAAAACAAAACACAATCATACAGTTGAGTCTATTGAAGTTTGTCATGCATATGCCATGAATACAGAGCATAAATTAATATTCTGAATGGCAACTAACTGTTTAAGCCTGTTTTCCCTACTTCCTTTATATCCCATTCCATTCCCCGCATGAAGCACAGAGCAGGTGCCCAGTAAAAATCCACTGATTTATCCAGCTGATCTGGAAGGTACCTACATAATGTTAGGTGAAAAATACGGGAAGCAAGGGGACATCTATGAGGTAACAATTGCACTACTCTGTTCCCTCACACTGGTGGCATGGCTGAGCAAAAGGCCCTTGGCCAAGCAGAGCTGGAGCAGATCAGACAGGAGACTCTGAGGCAGTAGAGGAAGCATTCGCTTAGACCGCTGGCAGTGTCGTGTGATGTCCCTCAGTGAACACTGTAGGGAAGTACGATGCTTCCTCTTCCGTTTCCCCGCAACTACCTTATGAGTTTCTTGTGACACAGGTTGTCTGTTGTTCATTGCTGTGACTCCACCTAGCGCTGGGCCCTACTCAGAGACACAGATGGAGGGAAGCAAGGAAACAAGATGAGTCCTACTGAGTTCCTGCCTTCCAACCAGCGGAGGAGATAAAAAACATGCTCCAAGAATGTGCTCAGTGCTCCAACAGGGGCATCAACAATGGCCTAGGGAACTCAGGACCAAAGACCTGTCTCAAAAAGAAAAGAGAATGACAAAGCATAGTGGGAAAGAAAAGATGTGGACAGTACATCTGGACAAAATGTAGGATACATAAAGGAGAACACGAGAGACAAAACTAGGAAGTGGGTGCGAGGCAGGAGGCCACGTGCTGCGCACTGCAGTTGTTTTGTGTGTTGTTCCTGCAGCCTGCTGTGCACTCCTCCACCTTCTGAGGACAGTTTTCCTCTGGAACCTACCCCAGCGTGTAATTTGGGGCTGGCCAGTAAAGAATCACATCCCTAGGCTCTAGGGTTGGTGACCTGATCAGTATCAAGGACATATAATGAAACTTTGGGACTATCATAAGAGTCACACTTCTTTCCCCCAAGACCTGAACCTGGGGCTGGACTGATTTGCCGTTACTTCTATGAGGATCAAGCCAGCCTAGATGAGCTGAGAGAATAGGCCTGGGTCCTGTCCACACTGTAAGTTTCCAGAAAAAGCTATTCCTGGGTTTTTCAGGTATTTGACCAAGCGCCTTTTTTTTTTTTTTTTTTTTTTTTTTGTCTTTTTGAGACAGGGTCTCGCTATGCAGTTCAAGCTGGCCTTGAGCTCACTTTGTAGCCCAGGCTGGTCTCAAACTTGCAACGATCCTCCTGCCTCAGCCTCCTGAGCTCTGGGATTACAGGCATGCACCACCACACCCGGCTTATTCTTTCTTTTTAAGCCAGTTGAGCTGGACTTTCTGTTACTTGCAATTGAAAGAGGTGTGCCTGAGACAAAAACAAGGTAAAAAGTATAAAGGAAAAAGACAGCATACATATACTGAACACACCAGCCAGAAGCCAGGCACAATGCTACTGTTTTTCTCACAAAACACTGACAGGTTAAATGTTGAAAGGGGAATTGTGGACTGAAAAACTGAGGTTTACAGAGTGAAATAACTGCCTGTGGCCACGAAGGTAGTAATCAGCAGGGCCTGGATTTGGACTCAGGTGGTTCAGACTCTAAGGCCTGCTCCTTCCACTTCTCCAGGGCTTGCAAACGAGGGAGTCACGGCAGGCTTCTGGAGAGTGAAGGGGCATGACTGAACCTGCGCTTCAGGAATGCTGATCTAACTGAAAGACGCAGGGCAAAAGAGAAGGCTAGAAGCAGAAGGACCAGGAGAAAGTCACTGTAATGGACAGAGGAGAGATAAGGAGTCTGCTTAGGATTTTGGCAGAGGATGGTGATGAGAAGGTGACACAAGAGAAAGGATCTTCAAGACTGGGGGCGACTGCAAGAGGATGGGCGATGGCGGGAGGTTGAGGAAAGGAATCAAAGATGCCAGGCTTTCCAGGCTGGAAGTTCAAGAGGTCAGTGAGGAACCAGTGTGCAAGCGAGCGATGTCAGATGGAGGCTGGCTTAGTGGGGAAGAGTTTGGAAAACACTGAGACTGGGCTTCTATTTAATATCTTAACAACAACAAAGTATTCCCCTGGCCCTTTTTTTTATCCCTGTAGTTCCCTTATAAGTCAAAGTTTCTACACAACAAAATAAAAAGGTCCTCACAAGCTGTTTCTGTAACTGGATACAAATTGCATAACATTTGGTTTGGTTTTTTTTTTTTTGTGGTACCGGGAAATGAACTCAGGACCTTACGCTTGCAAGGCAGGCACTTATGCCACTGAACTGTACCTCCGGCCCTATGCACAATATTTGTGTTACTACTTTGAAGTGTATAAAACGTCACTAATGGGACTTTTGGGACGCTGAGGAGAGTCCGGTTTAACGCACTCAGCTTCAGGGCTGGGGAGGGCCTGGCGCACCAGCCTTCCGAGGCCACTTCCCAAGTCCCCAGGCTTAGGACAGCACCGTCTTTACCTGTCCTTACTGAAAACGTCAGCGCGGTAGTGCCTTCCGTTTCGCGGGAGGAACTAGCCTTCATTCCTAGAGTGTGCGTGTGTGTGTGTAAAAGTGTTAGTACACGATTGGCAGCCCTCTGATTTTAAAATTTTAAAACAGCCCCTAGCCCAAAGCCCAGACATTTAGCGCCCTCTGTGGTCAAAGTCGTCGCCGCTGACTTCACCCTGGAGTCAGACTTACCCCTTCGACCGGTGCTTCCTGGCCCCGCCCCTCAGCCGGCACATGGGCGGGGCCAAAGGGCGGAGGCAGGCTTGGCGCATGCGCTCAGAGCCCCGGCATACACCACCCTGCAGGGCTTCTGGAACCCAGCAGAGGGCAGCAATCCCCTTCTTACTGAGCCGCTGGCGCCGCGGAGGCCCCAGGATTTCACCTCCGCCAGGCGGGCCTCCGGACCCCGCCCCCAGGAGGCGTCCAGGGATCTCCAGGTCTAAGGGGGCTGCAGCGACAAGATGGCCTCTCCGCCCAACCCAGGAGAGATAATGGTAAGACTAAGCAGGGATAAGCTCCCTCCTCACTTTGCTTTCATCACCACCACCTTATCCCTAGTTCCTAAGACGGTCCCTGCATACTACAGGCATTCAATAAGTGCTTATTGATGCAATAAAATGAATGAATGCGTGGTCTGAAGACTCGAGATACCTCGTGTCCTGTGTTGTGGGGAAGAGTCCAGAACAAACAATCAGGAGAGTCAGTGGGCATGGCATGGCCAGGCACAGATCAGGGCCCCCCCTGGTGGGGACTCCCCTTGCCCTTACATTCTGCCAGCTCCTTCCTTGGCACACCCAAAGGTTTGCTCCAAGGTGGTGCCACCCACCATCTAGTAAGTGCAGAGCCCAAGAAGGGATACGGGGCTAACTCTGTCAAGAACGGGAGTCTGTCCCCAAAGTATAGGCAGTCAGATCCTGGCTGCCTGCAGGGACCACCTGACTGGCAGGTCCAGTAGGCCTGCTGCTCTGTGGCCTCTAAATGTTAGGAATTTCCTCATAGCCAGTGGGAATTTCCAAACTGCCTCTGCTTTCCCAAGCTCCCAGAAGGCCCAGAGCCAAAGGCCAGCCTTGAAGATGGCTTCCCCGAACCCTCCACACCCCCGCCCCCAAATCTCACGAAGACTTGGGTCACTCCCCAAATCTCACAAAGACTAGGGTCACTTCTCAGCCACTAAATGCACCACATACACTATATTCCCATCCCACCCCCTCTGGCAGACATGTGAGAATGAGCATAATAAACCATTGTTCTCTTTTTCATATAAATGACAACTCTTTTCTATTTCCACAAAAGAAAAAAAGAAAACCAGTTTAAGAGTCAGCCACACTGAAATAAATACGGTGTCAATGGAAATCTTCTTGGGTGTGATCGCTGGTGGCCAGTGGCACTTATTCTCAGAGTCAGAGAGGCCCCTTTAGATGTGCTGCAGGTTCCCCCAAATACTGGACATTCATAAATATTTGAGGATCCGTACATTTACCTCTGGAAGCTCCTATTGGTCGTGTGTCTAGCAACTTCTAAAGTGAAAGCAAAGCATACACTTGATCCCCATAAAAGCAGAAGGAAGAGAAGCTTCTCCTTTGCCTGCCAGCCCTCTGCCCCCGTGTGAATAGCTCCGCCAAATCCACTGGGCATGTGAGCACCTGTGTGTAACCAAGCTGGGAGGAAGACGTGCTTGGCAAGGTGGGGAAGCACTGCCCCAGTTGTGTGGCGCAATGCCAGGGACCTGTTGGCCCTGGGGCATCAGGATTCCAGAGCTGGTAAAGCAGAGAAATTGCCAGAGAGAACAAACCTTTTTTCCTCTCCCACCAGGCCCAGCCTCACCAAGGGAAGTACAGGAACAGACAAGTTTCAAGAAAACACCCCCTCCTTCATTTCTCGCTGGGAGTTATCTGGAGCTTTGCTGTCAATATGGTAGCTAGTAGCCATGGGAGCTATTAAAACTGAAGTCAAAACAATGAGGTACTTCTCATTAAATTAAAATCAAATAAACTTTTAAATTTAGCTCCTCAGTTACATCTCTTGTTCTCCTGAGAGTAGGTACTCATGTATTTGTTACATGCGCTCACAGCTGCCGACCTGGACAGCACTGACTACAGTGCTGCAAACATGTCTATCTTTGCAGTTCGCTCTGTTGAACAGGTCTGATTCAGAGGTTCCCCTTTCAGTTTGTCCCGCTCATTCTTGCCAAAGCCTCATTTAGGTGGTAGCTCTAACTACTTGCTCTCCGCTCCCACCCCTACCCCGCATCTTTTTAGATTCCTGTCTGCATGTGTCCTGTCTTATTTCTAGGCCTCCAAAAGTGGGGGAGGGGACTGAAGTTGCATTTAACACCCAGCCTGAGAGCAGAAGCCAGATGCCACGGGGCTGAAAAGATCAGACTGAATGGAAGGCTGTCCCCACCCCAAGGCATCCAGGCCTGGGAGAAAGCCCCTCAGTGCCACACAATCATTCCTTGTTTCCACAGTCTCTGGGCCATGCATGAGTAAGACATCTGGAATACAGTGGCCTGAGGGTTTCCCTAGCACCCACTGCAGGATTCATCTGATGTTCGTGCTCCAGAGAGAGACATCCCAGCAGAACCCTGAACAATCAAGGGCAAATAAGGCCAATGAAACCTCGTCCAGGGCAGCACGCCAGTTCTGCCATGGGGGAGTGAGAGGCATAACCAGACACCTCCCTGCACAGCCAACCGAAGGAACCAAGTGAGGAAGGAGCAGGATGCCTGCAGCACACCAGAGGCTCAGACGAACTCCACCCTGCCTGGGTAAATGGAAGAGCAAGGCAGCACAAGGTGGATCTGAAAGCCATCACATTACCTCATAGGGACCCAGTCTGAGAGGTCTGGCCACAGCAGCTGGGATATCTGCGCAGGGCGGTCAGGGGCAGACCTCTCTGTTAGATGGAAGGAGAGGAGAACACACCTGGGAACTGGCAAGTCACGGCTGCCTTTCTGTTCTGTACCTCAGTCCTTGCTTAGCCCTAACCTAGGTGGGCTGTCAGGGCCAAGACAAGCGTAAAGAAACATAATAAGCTGCAGAAAGACCCTCTCCCCCCAAAAAAGGTAGAGTGAGTGTGTGCCAACTGGAAAATAGGTAGAAAAAAGCCTGGTACTCCAAAGATATTGCCATCAGCTGAGAATTTGACTGGAGAAAGTCACAGAAAAAGCAGCACAATTTGAAAAACTGGCATCGAACAAGAGATCAGATTGGAAACTCAGGGCAAAGCCATCCCACCCTGAAATGACATGAGGCCTTGAGTGAGCTCGGATCTATTTCCTCATCTCCACCTGAATGAAATGCACTTTGGGCGAAAACACCAGCCTGCGGACAAGAGTAAAGGACTCACAGCTGAGTCACGAACAGGAACAGCCTGTGGCATTCTTGCGGGCAGATGGTCCGCGCTGCCAGGCACCAAGTGCTTCCCAAGGTATCAGAGATGAATTAATGACCACGGCAATGGAGACTCTGCAGCCACTGCAGTAGTCTTCCCAATTCACGATATCCCACTTGCTGCTGTTTTCTTTTTTCTTTTTTTTTTTTTTTGGTTTTTCTCCGGTACCGGGAACCGAACTCACGACCTTGCGCTTGCGAGGCAGGCGCTTTTGCCGTTGAGCTAAATTCCCAGCCCCTTTGCTGCTGTTTTAGTTACCTACAGTCGACTGTATTCCAAAAGTATTAAGTGGAGAATTCCAGAAATAAATAATTTATCAGTTTTCAATAACTTTTATCACAGTGAATAACTGTTCTTATCATTACTGTTAATCTCTTACTGTGCCTAACTTATAAACTTTATCCTAGATATGTATGTACAGGAAAAACATAATATAGATAGGGTTTGGTACTATCCATAGTTTCTACTAAAGGTCTTCAAATGCAGATAAGAAGGACCTCTAAACTCAAGGGCACTATTTTGAGGCACTAATCTAAGTGATTTTTATGTACTGGTTTATTTTAATTCTTACAACAACCTTACAGGGAAAGTACTACTTTACAAATGAGGAAAATGAGGCCTGGCGGCTGGGGATATAGCTCAGCTGCACAGCGCCTGCCTGGCAAGTGTGAGATTGTGAGTTCAATTCCCAGTACCAAAAGAAAGAAAGAAAATGAGGCCCAGAGGAAATAAATAATTGCCGAAGATCACTCGACAGGGCCAGCATTTTGTCTGGAATCCACATAATGCCCAACACATTTATGGACAGCACCCACACAACAAGTCACTCCTGATTTCTGGGTCCTTCTGCATCTGCTGCCTTCCTTCTCCTTCTCTCAAATGAGCTAAAAGCAGTTTCAACCACCAAAACCAGCCCTTCCATCTGACTGTTCGCCCAGCATCTATTCCTACAGCAACAATAAAAGCTGCAGACTGGGGATTTTGAAGAGAACAAGTGGGACAAAAGACAGGGCACCCTTTATGGGATGGGCTCCTCTTTCAGCGGCACAGAAAAGAGACCTGAAAACCAATAGTTGAAGACAGACCAGGGGGCTGAGGAGGGAACCCAGGGCCCTGATTAAAACAGAAAATTCAGCCTCTCCTCCCCAGAGACCACGTCCTCTGATTTACAGCCAGCACTCTCCTGGACAGAGAAGGTGATAGCTGGTTAGATAGAAAACTGGAGGCTGATGCTTTGGAGTGCCCTGGGAGAAAAAGACATCCCCGGTCAGATTCCTCAGAGGGCACGTGTGTGGCGCCCAGGCCATTCCCCGGCTGTCCTGCCGCGGAGCTCACTCTTGCAGTTCTTCTCCCCAGGTCAAGGCCAAGCAATGATGGGTGGGGGCAAGGAACAACAGGGAAGCCCTGGGAGAGGAATGCAGACAGGCATCTGTGGGCCTGCAAAGGTGATTCACCTCCCATGAGGGAGGGTGAGGGCATTTTTGGTGCGATGGTCAGGCGGGTACCCCTTACCTTCTCCAAGCCTTGGCCTCATTCCTTCCTCTCCCTCTCCCCAAACAAGAAACTCCTGTCACTGTTCAGAAATCCTGAGGCCGGAATCTCAGGCTGCTGTGCATGAGGCAGGGGCTCTGCCAGGGAGAGCCAAGTGCTAAGGGGAACAGCGATGTTTGCTGGTCACTGGGTTCCAGGAAGACAGACCACAGCAGTCCTCCAGCCTGTTCAGGCTGTGGGCCCAGTTTGCCTCTTGACATATGTCCAAGTGAGTGGTACTCGACCTCACCCTGTGCCTCTGTCCTTTAGGTAACCCAGGCGCCTGCTGAGGAGGACGCAGGCTGTGCCAGGCTCAGCAGAGGCTGGGTCTCTCAGTGCCTGGAGTGTCAGGCATACAGGCTACCATAGCCTGGAATACCCCAGGGAGAGCGAAGTAGAAGATTCCAGCCCAGTCAGGGAGGAAGTTTTTTACCACTCTGAAGCCAGAGTTCCTGCAATCCAGCTCCACAGTCAAATCAGTCCACAAGGAGGCAGACGGGATGAGATGGGGGATGAGGTGGAGACCCGGCCAGGAAGCACTCACACAAGGAGACAGTATCAGTCCTTTCCCCCTTGCTATACCCCTGGAAGGTCCCAACTCTGATTTCTAGATACTTCCTCCTCCATGTCATGGAGCTGGGCATGACACTGTGTCATACTGCCTGACAGTGCTGTCACTGTTTGGCCCCTAGCCCATGCCACCCAGGGCCAAGATCAAGCTTTTCGCAGATGTCTTCCATTGTGGTGAAAGAAAAATCTCCTTGATCACAGGGATGGTACCTTGGGCTGTTCTCCACAGCGTGACACTGAGCAGGTGTCAAGGCTTCCTGACATCTACCCTAACTGCTCAGGACATTCACACCTGGCCTTCTCTACAGCCCAGAGCTGCCTCTCCTTCCTCTTTCACAAAGCCCTCCCCTGCCCTGGGGTCAGGCGAGCCTCCTTGTCCCACTGGAAGTACCCTGGAAGATCTCCCTCCCTGGGTGTACCCTGCTTGCCACAGGATCTGGCAGTGAGAGAAGCGGGAGAGGCAGAGAGGAAGTGAGTCAGCTCCTTGCAGAAATGGGACCAAGAGGGCGGAGCCAACAGAAATGAGATCAGAGGGCAAAGAGCACAGGAGTCAGAAAGGTCACTAAGAGAGGAACAGGCACCGGAGATGTTGTGGGGCCTACAGAGTAGAAGACATATGAGTGACAAATACGGCAGTACCCCCTCCTGCCATAACTGGGTGGCCCTGGTAGACCAGAGAACCTGAGTGTGCCAGGTAGGCCCCACCTGAGGATGGAATTTGAGGTGGTTCCCCTTCCTGACTCACATACAGGCTGGAGGAAGTGAGGCCTTGTGGGAAGTGGCCAGCCTCTTCTCTCCTCAGAGGGGTGGAGTCTCTCAGCTCCAAGGCCTCCAGCTGCCTCTCTTGAGCCCTACAGCTCCGAAAGTCCAGGTTCTTCCTGAACTGTCCCAAGACAGAAATGTTGTTTGTGTCTCCCAGAGGGGCCTGGGACTGAGCCTGGGCCCCAGGAGCAGAGCAATTCCAGAAACCCTAGCACAGGGGCTGGGGATTTAGCTCAGCGGCAAAAGCGCCTGCCTTGCAAGCGCAAGGTCGTGAGTTCGGTTCCCGGTACCGGAGAAAAACAAAAAAAAAAAAAAAAAAAAAACAGAAACCCTAGCACCCGTCCCTACCCTCTCTAGTGGCCCCTACCCATGTGGGAGCTGTCCCCAGGCTACAGCTGGAATCTGTTGTTCTGACTGGGAAGGATCCTTGCTGTGAAAATTCCCAGCCTGCTGACATTCCAGAAATCCAGGGAAAGCAGCAGGAGGGCAAAGGAAGCATTGAGCCCTGCCTGGCCACATTCCAACCCCTCAGAGACCTGAAGCCAGTGAGACAGGCACATTCCTCCAGGCTCCCTGGACGGGATACTAAGCAGCCTCCATGTAACCCTAAATCTCTTTCTCACATAGGCCAGGTGACTCAATGGGGACTCCTGTGTAGAGGCTGGACGCAGGCTGTACCTGGGACCCTCCTTCCACAGCTTCCTGCTCCTGCAGACCCACAGAGACCAGCTCTCCTGAGTCCTGTGAAACACCACGTCCCTGGACACACAAGCGACAGAGTTGGTGAGCAGAGGCAGCACACGGTAACAGAAGAAGCCTTCAGACAAGCACCAGGGCCTCTTAAGGAGGAGAGTTCCAGGAACCAACATCAAGGAAGAGGAGATGAGCGAAAGGAAAACC